GAATGTAACTGATTCCTCCATCTCTAGAGGTGTTTTGATGGGGCAGATGTTTTTCTGTCAGGATAAATATTACAGAAGAGGCCTATTGGAGGGAGAAATTAGGATTAAACGCCCTCTGTGTGCTGAGCTCTCGAGATTTCTCTGCCGGTTGAGTTTATGCCAGACATTTGGAGCTGGTTCTCCAGCTATTGAGATGGAAAAATCAGAGAGAAGGCTATCGTTACTCTCCATCAAGAAGAGGGAAAGTGAAAACAACGAGAAGGGGGAAATCAAGCCGCTGGAAAACATAATAAGTCATCATGTAGTGGAGGAGTAAGAGGAATGGTGTGAAAAGAGCCAAGAAGACAAGCAGAGGCTGTCTGTGACGGATGAGAGCAGGGAAACTAGGCTTGTCTCTCCAGAAGGGCAAACCCAGTCTGATTGATTAGAGCGCCTTTAAAAAAAAAGGCCTGATACCCAATAACGTTTCTGAGGCATCTTACAAATGCTCTCTTGTTTTTTTGAGAACTGTGCGCTGTGAAATAATAACAGCAGCAGCAATGGTGAAGAACAAGGGATATGTGTAACACTTGGAAGGGCAAACCCAGTCTGATTGATTAGAGCGCCTTTAAAAAAAAAGGCCTGATACCAATAACGTTTCTGAGGCATCTTACAAATGCTCTCTTGTTTTTTTGAGAACTGTGCGCTGTGAAATAATAACAGCAGCAGCAATGGTGAAGAACAAGGGATATGTGTAACACTTGCCTTAAAGGTGACATATCATGAAAATCTGACTTTTCCAGGTTTTAAGTGCTATAATCAGGTCCCCGGTGCATCTACCAACCAAGGAAATGTGAAAAAGATTAACCCAGTAACTTTGTTTTGGGAAGCCTTTTTCTGCAAGCGTCTGAGAAAACAAGCGCGTCTGATTTCGCTCCCTTGGTGATGTGGCAAAGGGATCTCATTATAATATTACCGCCCCTTAACCTGCAAGTTTCTACCCACAGCGCCAACGGTGTACCAGCTCTAATGCCATGGCGAAAGTTTGAGCAAAACATTCTAACTGTTCTGTCATTGGCTGCACAGACGAACACAGAACACTATTTAGAGTCCCAGCCACAGAGGAGGCAAGACAGCAGTGGATTTATTGATTTATTTAATGCATATTGCTGCCGCCACACAGATCTAAAATAAACATGCAATTTATTTCCCAGTTGTTTACCTTCACAGACTGTTTTTTTAACTCGTGTGTTTTTAACGTAAACTTGTGTGTGAATGAGAACTTAGTTTAGTACTCACATGCTGTGACAGCCGCTTTCTGTCCGTGTGCTTCAGATGTGTGCACTCAGAAAACCGTATATAAGATGTTTAAACTTGTATGGTTTAAAACGCATGATTTCAGTGCGATAAACATGATAATTAGAACTATAACAGATGTTTTTAGCAGGTCCGAGGTGTAATGGATCAGCTCTATTCTGGAAAAGGGGGCAGGGAGCAGCAGCTCATTTGCATTTAAAGAGACAGGCCCGAAAAAACACAGTAGCCCCTCACTGCAGAACAAAGATCCAGGGGGCGGGGTTGGATCCACATCTAGGGGGTGGAGATGGGTGGGTTTAGGGATCAGGGGGTGGAGATGGGTAGGTTTAGGTATATGTAAGGTGGGAGAAGTTAGATCTGGATCCAGACTCGCCCCCTGGATCTTGTGTTCTGCAGTCAGGACCATCTCGAAAAACAGCATGTTTCTGCTTCCACTCAAAATAGGCATTTTCAAAATTATATAATAAATGATCTGTGGAGTGTTTTGAGCTGAAACTTCACAGACACATTTTGGGGACACCAGAGACTTATATTACATATTGTAAAAAGAGGCATAATATGTCTCCTTTAATGTCTGTGACTCATTATTTATTGCAAAGTTTGATATCATTTCCCCATATGTATCTGCTGCAAATTTAAGTTGTTTGAAATTTACAATATATGTAAGTGGTTAGTATGAATTTACAGCTGCATCTCAATAAATTAGAATGTCGTGGAAAAGTTCATTTATTTCAGTAATTCAACTCAAATTGTGAAACTCGTCCCCGCCTCAGTCCATTCCTTGTGAAGTTCACTCAAATTTTTGAATCGATTTTGCTTGACAATCCTCATAAGGCTGCGGTTCTCTCGGTTGGTTGTGCGTCTTTTTCTTCCACACTTTTTCCTTCCACTCAACTTTCTGTTAACATGCTTGGATACAGCACTCTGTGAGCAGCCAGCTTCTTTGGCAATGAATGTTTGTGGCTTACCCTCCTTGTGAAGGGTGTCAATGATTGTCTTCTGGACAACTGTCAGATCAGCAGTCTTCCCCATGATTGTGGAGCCTAGAGAACCAAACTGAGAGACCATTTTGAAGGCTCAGAAAACCTTTGCAGGTATTTTGAGTTGATTAGCTGATTGGCATGTCACCATATTCTAATTTGTTGAGATAGTGAATTGGTGGGTTTTTGTTAAATGTGAGCCAAAATCATCACAATTAAAAGAACCAAAGACTTAAATTACTTCAGTCTGTGTGCGTTGAATTTATTTAATACACGAGTTTCACAATTTGAGTTGAATTACTGAAATAAATGAACTTTTCCACGACATTCTAATTTATTGAGATGCACCTGTATTTCAGGTAAAATGAGTGCTGTTGTTAATACCTATCCCACTATTACAACACATTTACATGCATTTATTTTGTTTAGTTTTTTTTTCAACCACAATTAATCCCATCCCATCCCAACTATTTTATTTTATTTTATTTTAAAAAGTGAAAAAAAAGAGTTAAAATAAGTACAATTTTTATTTTAAAATAGCTAACGAGTTAAAATATGAAACGCTATCCCATGTTTAATCATTGTCCTGGAGAAGTAAATTGAGAAATTAATGTTACAGTCTTACCTGTCTGCTCAGAAAAGATATGTCTGGTTTGTGTAGCATTTAGGTGAAAGATTTGAGTAAATTTTATATATAAATTAAATCACAAAACCTACCAATTTTTTCAGGTGTTAAAAGTCACCCCGTGATTTACAACCATCCACATTTTCCCCTAGAAAAAACCCCCTTAATACATTAAAGAATTTGTTTTTATGATTATAGAAAGTCATTTCCTCTTTTGGAAAGAGTAACCTGAAGGTATTTTTCAAAATTATCCCGTAACATATGCATTTATGATCTCTGCTTCAAATTGGCAAATCGTAACCAATCTCCTTCCAATTCACTTACTATTTTTCTCTCAGTCTGCTCAAGGTATAAATGTATTCAACTCTCTTCCCCTTCGAAACATGTGCACGGCTGCCCTTTGCTTGGCGTGAAGCTGTGAGTCACATGTAGTTGTAGTTATACTGAGGAACTCGTAGCCTAAGATGATCTTATCGTAAGCTAAGCTGACGTTAACACGTGACATAAGCCCCTGGTGTACGGACCTCTGCGGGGTCATGTCCAGAATTTGACTTCAAGCAGCTTCTATCCACACAGGGATGCAACTGTTTGCGACTGTGATCTGTGATCTCATCTTCACAGCGTTTCTGCTTCTGAAGACCTATTGATTAACAAGAGACCCTATTGATTTAGACAGCGCTCACTCATTTAAACGCCCACCTTTAGCTCCTCTCATTATTATACATCAGCAATGTAGTTATGTGCTAAAAAGGTTACGATTTAATGGCTCTTTCACTCTTGATTACGTTTTTTCCTCCTTCTTTAGGTTCATGTTTAATCTCTCAAATCTTTCTTGATTGCTCTACAGTTCTGCTCCAGGCTGACTATCTGTGACATCCTGGGAAAACATTGATGCCTTTTAAGAACCCACAACCACTTTTCCTATTCGACTAAGTGGGATTTGCAGATTACAGCAAAATCTGAGGTACAGTTATTTGAGAAATGGAAAATAACTTTCTTTTCACAGGCTGTTTGCACGCTACCCCGTGTTTCCAAAGCATACACACTCACGTAATCATGAGCCGGCGCACTCAAGTAAATCTATTTACACTGAACGTCTCTTTTCTCGCGCAGGGGTTAGAAGATTTTCGGTCTACAGCGATTTCCCCCTCTCTTCTATTCTCAAGGGGAAGCTTGTTAAATGGGTTGCTTCCACATTGTGCTCTAAATCCTCACTCATTCCTTTTGAAGCGGCTTCAAACAAAAGCATGAGTCGACTACAGTGCGTTTTTTGTTCCCTGCCAGCCATGTGGATGGCATATGCTAATGTTTTATATATAAATTAAATCACAAAACCTACCAATTTTTTCAGGTGTTAAAAGTCACCCCGTGATTTACAACCATCCACATTTTCCCCTAGAAAAAACCCCCTTAATACATTAAAGAATTTGTTTTTATGATTATAGAAAGTCATTTCCTCTTTTGGAAAGAGTAACCTGAAGGTATTTTTCAAAATTATCCCGTAACATATGCATTTATGATCTCTGCTTCAAATTGGCAAATCGTAACCAATCTCCTTCCAATTCACTTACTATTTTTCTCTCAGTCTGCTCAAGGTATAAATGTATTCAACTCTCTTCCCCTTCGAAACATGTGCACGGCTGCCCTTTGCTTGGCGTGAAGCTGTGAGTCACATGTAGTTGTAGTTATACTGAGGAACTCGTAGCCTAAGATGATCTTATCGTAAGCTAAGCTGACGTTAACACGTGACATAAGCCCCTGGTGTACGGACCTCTGCGGGGTCATGTCCAGAATTTGACTTCAAGCAGCTTCTATCCACACAGGGATGCAACTGTTTGCGACTGTGATCTGTGATCTCATCTTCACAGCGTTTCTGCTTCTGAAGACCTATTGATTAACAAGAGACCCTATTGATTTAGACAGCGCTCACTCATTTAAACGCCCACCTTTAGCTCCTCTCATTATTATACATCAGCAATGTAGTTATGTGCTAAAAAGGTTACGATTTAATGGCTCTTTCACTCTTGATTACGTTTTTTCCTCCTTCTTTAGGTTCATGTTTAATCTCTCAAATCTTTCTTGATTGCTCTACAGTTCTGCTCCAGGCTGACTATCTGTGACATCCTGGGAAAACATTGATGCCTTTTAAGAACCCACAACCACTTTTCCTATTCGACTAAGTGGGATTTGCAGATTACAGCAAAATCTGAGGTACAGTTATTTGAGAAATGGAAAATAACTTTCTTTTCACAGGCTGTTTGCACGCTACCCCGTATTTCCAAAGCATACACACTCACGTAATCATGAGCCGGCGCACTCAAGTAAATCTATTTACACTGAACGTCTCTTTTCTCGCGCAGGGGTTAGAAGATTTTCGGTCTACAGCGATTTCCCCCTCTTTTCTATTCTCAAGGGGAAGCTTGTTAAATGGGTTGCTTCCACATTGTGCTCTAAATCCTCACTCATTCCTTTTGAAGCGGCTTCAAACAAAAGCATGAGTCGACTACAGTGCGTTTTTTGTTCCCTGCCAGCCATGTGGATGGCATATGCTAATGGTATGGGGTGAAGAAGTAGTGTTTTGTAAGAATGGGACCAGTAGCTGCTGGTTATAGCCCAGGGGAACGGCAGCTTTGAGTGGCACAATGTCTGCAGAAGAAAGGGAAAATGGAAATGTTTCAGATGTGATTGGTGTTTTTCACAGTCGCCACATGGTAAAAAAAGAAGGCCATTTGTGGCTTTGTGCTCTGAGTCCTCGCCGCTGAGATGGACAGCTTCCGTCTGTGGTTAAATAATCATAAAAACGAGATCTTCCGGTCCAGATGTGCATCACAGGTTGTGTAGCAGGGAAAGGGTTGAATTAGAGCCTTTAAGATTTGGTTGTCTCTTTTGGCGCTTTTCCACTGCGTGGTACGGCTCGGCTCGGCACGGCACGGTTTGCGTTTCCACTGCAGTTCAGTACCGCTTTAGAGTGGGCGGGATTATTCACATGTCGTTATAGTTGCGCCGCCTCTACTACCACGAGTCCTAAAAAAATCATTCCGCTTCGGAGGGTATTCATTCCGCATCGCCCCATCAAGCTCTCGCTGGATCCGCTCCTCTGCTATCAACGAGAGGAACGTCTGTTCTTCCGCAACAGTCAACAAAACTTTTTGGTTGTTAAAAAAAGGTGTGCTCGTTCAAAACAGTTGCGTTCGATCCTTCGCTGGCTGTGCTGATTTAAATCTAGCGGTTCTTTTGTGTTTGTGTTGCAAGTTCAGTGACGCAGGTAGTAACTATTCTCTCCGGCCAATCCGTGATCAGAGTTTACACTCACGTTTTGGTAACGGTACGGTTCACTTGGAACCCCAACCGAAGTGGTACTAAAAAAAGTACCAGGTACTGTACCCAGTGGAAAACCCCCCAAAAGTGAACCGTACCGAGCCGTACCGTGCCGTGCCATGCTGTGGAAAAGCGCCATTTGTCACACATAGTTGAGCGCTAAACACACCTTGTGTGAAGTAAATGTCGTCTTAAAGTGTAAGTTTATTAGAGTGACAGAATTTCAGTATTTTCATTAAAATGTTCACAGTGCTCAAATAAGCACCCTATGCAACTTATAACCTAGAATGTATTCAAAGTCTTCTGAAGCCACACGATAGCAAAAAAATTGGCATATATTCAGATGGGATGGCAGTGATGCCAAATGCTCATTGGCTCTTACATGTTTTGAAAAAATGCCACATGTCAAGTCTGAATATGTGAAAGTGGCAAGATTTTCAGTGAATAATGATTATTTGGTATGTTTCTCTTGCAAAAGTGTTGTATAGTTAAAAATGACTTGAATTATAGCTCACAGGCAGGGATATTATTGTTTTAGTTTTTGTGTATATTCAAATTTCTTGTGTGTGTGTGTGTGTGTGTGTGTGTGTGGCTTTAAGGTTTTAGTACATTAGAGCTGCCAAAGTCAGCTTGTATCATAAAAATGGTATTATTTTAAAACTATATAAAAACAGTTAGATTTTTCACTGCAGTCTAGTGCCATTTTCATATTTACTAAAGGTGTCAAGCAATGTAATTTACTATAAAAACAAGAAAATTTATTTGTGGACACTTTTATTTTAGTAAGTTTTGGTATCCCAGTTAGTTATTTTTAAACATTATTATTATTATTATTATTTTTATTTTTTTTGTTAAGGATAATAACACAAGTTCCATGGAGCATTTTATAGTATTTTTGGAGCTTGACCGCCCTGAACAAGAGCAATATGAACATTCTTCAAAATATTTGTTTTTATGTTCCATGGAATAACAGAAATTTAGAGCGGTGTAGTTCCCTTAATGTCTTAGCAAGTGGCCAGACCCAGGTTTTTAAAGGGTAGACCTGCAAGGGGAACTGTAAATCTGACAACCAAGTGATAACAGTTCAAAATGTCCCTATTATGGCCTCCTTAGATTTTATGTAACACCTGAGGCAATGAAGCATCTAATTGCCTTACCTTCTCCTCATGAGAAATCGCTTGGCTTGAGTACACCGTTTCACGGCACCCTCCCCTCTTATTGCTGGTCCACCAAAGCATATCGTTTTCTCTGGCTCTGGATGAACCGCCGCCTCCTCCCTGAGCCAGGATAATTGACTGTGTGGCTTAACAGCTTAATGGAGAGAGGGCAGTTACTCATGCGAAACTCCGGGAGCTTTGCTCTGAAACGTGCTACAGGTCGTCCTACTTTGCGCAGCTGAAGGGAAGGATATGGCGAGTGCGCTTAGATTGGGGAGGATAAGATTTCACAGTAAGATGGTTTCATTCTGTCCCAGGGGTCTTTGCCTGTGGGATGCTAATGAGTCTGATATGCTAATAGGGGTGGAGCTTTTCAGCAGTTTCCCCCTCACTCCGCCTCCATCGTCTTGTCCTTGTCAACCATCCCTACAGCCCTGGACTTCAAAGACGTTCCTACACGTACTTTCCAGCTGCATTTGCATTAAGTCAACACCAGTTCTCGAGCGAAATGAGCCGCCTCGACAACAAATAAAGAGTCAGCAGTTTACTGTTTGAAATTTAGCGGAGCATTAGTGAATTTCACACTTCCTGTCCTCTCGCTCGTAATTAGCAGGGTGAGGCATTGCACTTCACTGTATAGTGCTTGAGAGTGGCATCAAGGAGAACATCATTAATGGACACCTGGAGATGAACAGCTTGTGGTTGTTGCTTGGTGTGACCCTGAGCAGGGCGCAGGCTGCCTCGTAGAATCAAATGAGGTGACTGATATTGGGGGATAATTTGTCAGATCTGGGGCAGTCCCAAGAGCTGCAGTTTGTCTCTGTTGACAACCACGCTCACCTGAAGGGCTACTCATCCTGTGTATGCCGTAATGTGATCGCGCAGTAAAGGAGACTGATGCCCTCTACCACGTCTGCCCTGCTGTCCTCTGGTGCGTCCTCTTTTCTGCCTTTCATCATGTTCCTTATAGGGATTCTCTCTTCATTTGTGTCCTTTCTTGTCCTCTTTCACTTTTCTACCTTTCTATCACCACATTAAAGGGATAGTTTTCCTAAGAATGAAAAGATATTGTGAAAATATCATCTTTTGTGTTTGAAATGAGAAGAAATTCTGACAGAATTATAATTTTTGGGTTAACTATTAGTCTATTATATACTATATATAATAATTATATATATATATATATATATACTATATTATATGCTTAGTATTATTATATACTAATATAGTATTTATACTTTTTTTGAATTGCCTTTTCATATTTTCTGTTTTTGTAATTTTATATGCTTCTGTAATATGTATTAGTTTTTTAATATTTTTATTTGGTTTTGATAAAAAAAATGTTTAATTGGTTTAATTGTTTTTATTTATTTCAGTTTTAGTTTAAGTACTTAAACTTATTTTATTGTTGGTTAGTTGCCCAGGCAACATTTCTTTTTTTTTCTTTCTTTTTTTAAGGTGTATTTTTTAAGTTTTTCATCTAATATTTATATTTTATTCTATTCCAGCTTTATTTAGATGAACATTTCTTTCTTTCTTTCTTTCTTTCATTACAATTACCACACTGGTTACTATGACACACTTACAATGGAAGTAAATGGGGCCATTTTTTAATCAAATAATTAAATTTCTTCTTCTATGCTTATTTGTTAAGCTGTTTAAATCATTTTATTTATTTATTTGTTTTACATTTATGGATAAGCCCTGTTTACTTGAGTGCCTCACTGTATGTGGATATTTTTGCGGTTTCTTTTTCTTTTTTTTCTTCTTTTTTTTTTAAAAGAGAATGCGGGCAAGTGGAAATACGTTTGTTTTATTCAACATACGCAGTAAAGGAGACTGATGCCCTCTACCACGTCTGCCCTGCTGTCCTCTGGTGCGTCCTCTTTTCTGCCTTTCATCATGTTCCTTATAGGGATTCTCTCTTCATTTGTGTCCTTTCTTGTCCTCTTTCAATTTTCTACCTTTCTATCACCACATTAAAGGGATAGTTTTCCTAAGAATGAAAAGATATTGTGAAAATATCATCTTTTGTGTTTGAAATGAGAAGAAATTCTGACAGAATTATAATTTTTGGGTTAACTATTAGTCTATTATATACTATATATAATAATTATATATATATATATATATATACTATATTATATGCTTAGTATTATTATATACTAATATAGTATTTATACTTTTTTTGAATTGCCTTTTCATATTTTCTGTTTTTGTAATTTTATATGCTTCTGTAATATGTATTAGTTTTTTTTATATTTTTATTTGGTTTTGATAAAAAAAATGTTTAATTGGTTTATTTTTTTTTATTTATTTCAGTTTTAGTTTAAGTACTTAAACTTATTTTATTGTTGGTTAGTTGCCCAGGCAACATTTCTTTTTTTTTCTTTCTTTTTTTAAGGTGTATTTTTTAAGTTTTTCATCTAATATTTATATTTTATTCTATTCCAGCTTTATTTAGATTAACATTTCTTTCTTTCTTTCTTTCATTACAATTACCACACTGGTTACTATGACACACTTACAATGGAAGTAAATGGGGCCATTTTTTAATCAAATAATTACATTTCTTCTTCTATGCTTATTTGTTAAGTTGTTTAAATCATTTTATTTATTTATTTGTTTTACATTTATGGATAAGCCCTGTTTACTTGAGTGCCTCACTGTATGTGGATATTTTTGCGGTTTCTTTTTCTTTTTTTTTCTTCTTTTTTTAAAAAAAGAGAATGCGGGCAAGTGGAAATACGTTTGTTTTATTCAACATGGTCGCAAATTCAGTTGATTGAGTTTAATTTACAGAACCCCTAATAATCCTTTAATTCCATGTGGATTCTCAAGAGTAACTTCTGGATCTTGAGATTTTGCTTTCATTACAAGCCAAAAAACTTGCCATTGTTCACCATTCTAAATTCACATATACTAAATAATTCCCCCAACCCTCTCGCTCCTTCAACAGAGTCCAAGCAGGATATGAGAACCATCTCTCTGCTTACAGCTAATAGTGTATGGATTGAACCTTGAATGCAAAATGATCGACATTCAGTGGCTGGGGAACAAAGTGAATGAGAGATAATATGAAGGACACATGGATCCAACAGGATGCATATGGAACAAGACTGTGTTTTGGCTCGGACACACATCCTTTTGGAAACGAATGGTGATCATGTGTGTCCCACTCATAACAACAATGGTATGATGTAATCCACCGAGGCTAGACCTCAGGACCCATTATAGTAAGTTGCACTTTTGTTTTCTTTGTTTTTTGACCTTCCTTTTAGTTTTCTGTGAGTGCTACATTCCCTGTTAAGTGGCATGTTCATACTGTTACCTAAAGTAAGCACAGATACATTATTTATATCATGTGTGGGAATCAAGCACAAAGGTTGTTTTCAGGGAATTTTAACACTGATGGACTGAGGAAAGAGCATTAAATCACAAAGGGAATATACTACATTTGGTGTAATGTTTATCATCCCTTTAGGCAACCATCTCGGGATGAAATGGCACAAAATGAAAAGTTACGTTTTTGACCATGTTGCCTCGATATGGGTTTTGCAGGTGGCAGATAGTAGATCTTTGGCCACAGTGCTGGTACAATGGACTTCTGTAGCCTGGCCAACCACAAGGAGTTTGTTACAGTGGAACATCTCGTCTTCTGCTGGAGAAAGGTTGTCTGGGAACATTCTGGAACAGATTCTTTCTTTTTTTATTATTCGTACTGTCTGGTTCTGTGCAAAGTGTTTGGCAAGATCTGATTCTTTAGTTGAAAGTGCTTTGCATTGGATTACAGCATTAAGGTCCCCTGGTGCTTTGTTTATCCTGAGAAAATTCCCCTTTTCCCTCCAGGGGTGTTGTGTGTCACATATACAGTATATGACTGATTATCCAACAAGAACAAGGATGAAGCAGAATTTTAATAAATGCATCTAAAATTAAAAAGCAATTGTGAGTCTCTAGCTAATATAAAGTGCCATCTAAAATCAGATGACACTTCCATCTCCTTCATTTTGTGGAGCTTAGAAATCCGAAGTAGTCAAGAGTAACATTAAAGCATTAAAGATAAAATGGTCCACTATATATATGCAGTATCTGTATCTCACTTGCTTTTTCTTTGAAAAGCTTTTTTACATAATAGTTGAAACTTAGAATACATAATTTTATGAAATATTTCATAAACTTTCATTTTATGAATGTCATATATATAAAATGTATTGCTACATCTAAAATGGACTTTTCAGTAAGTGCTGCCATACACTCTGTTGAAGCCCACATCCGGTTTATTCAGAACTCAGTTTAATAATTGCAACAGATAATGACATCAGTTCACACCCCTAATATTTCCCCTGCCACATATACAGAACAGTGATCTTTATAGGAAAACAGTTGTTCTCACTGTATGTTTTATATATGTTTTACATGTTGAGAGTCTCTCAATAACACCATTGTTATCCATTGCCATTGTCAGGTGGCTGCTGAAGCGCCTGTAATGTCTGCTGGGATAGCCATGTTTACTACCCTCAACCTCAGGCTGTTCCCTACTGAGAGCTTCATGCCCAACAAGGGTGCAGCACACCGAATCCCCCCTGAATCAGGAACTCACGTAAACAACCTGCGGGCAGCACCTCCTCTCCCCAGACTGTACCCGGTTACTAAGATATCATACTGCTCCCATAAAGAAAACCTCCAGATTTCTCCAGAAGTCACCTCAAGAAGTCCTTTTTATTTATTTTACAGGGACATCTGTAAACTCAGCTGTGTTGGATTGCGACCTTGCCTTTATCAGAAAATAGGGGTGTGCAGTTAAGCTATCTCTATACAGGTATGTATCTGGATCTGTTGCAGTGATTGGAATTATTTGTATCAAATTCAGATAAAACAGGGTTCAAAAGTAAAACTGAATGGAAATTTTTTTTTTCTACCATTTATCAAATATGGCTCATATAATTTGAAATAAATAAATAAACTTTTCAAAAATATGTTAAAATAGAAAAAACGTTATTTAAAATGGTACTAATCTTTCACAATATTACTGTTTTTACTCTATTTTTAATCAAATAAATGAAGCCTCGTTGAGCATAAAAACTTCTTTCAAAAACCTCAATCTTACCAAACCCAAACTTTTGAATGGTAGTGTATTTCTTAAATGGAAATTTTCACCCAAAAATTACAATTCTGTCATTAATTCTCTTAATTTTGTTCCAAACCCGTAAGACCTTCATTCAACTTTGTAACACAAATTTAGATTTTTTTTTAATGAAACCCGAGAGCTTTCTGACCCTGCATAGACAGCAATGCAACTGAGATGTTCAAGGCCTATTAAAGGTAGTAAGGACATCGAAAAAATAGTCCATGTGACATTAGTGGTTCAATCATAATTTTATGAAGCTATGGGAATACTTTTTGTGCACAAAGAGAACAAAAATAACAACTTTATTCAACCATTCTTTTCTTCCGTGTCTCCGCTTAAAGGGTTAGTTCACCCAAAAATGAAAATTCTGTCATTAATTACTCACCCTCGTGTTGTTCGAAACCCATAAGACCTTCGTTCATCTTCGGAACACAATTTAAGATATTTTTATTAAAGGGGTCATATGATGCGATTTCAATTTTTCCTTTCTCTTTGGAGTGTTACAAGCTCTTGGTGCATAAAGAAGATCTGTAAAGTTGCAAAGACTAAAGTCTCAAATCCAAAGAGATATTCTTTATAAAAGTTAAGAGTCAACCACGCCTACCTAAAACGGCTCGTTCTAACACGGCCCCACGTATCTACCTCACTATGTGGGAAGATTTGCATAACGCTGCCCAAATGTTCACGCAAAGAAAGAATGCGTAACTTTTATTCTCGCTGTAGTATTGTTGCCGCTTTCCGCCATGTCCTGAAGACGCTGTGTGCTTCGTTGTGAAAGCAAAAGTACTTTGTTTGGTCTTCCAAAAGAGGACAATATCCGTTTCGTCATGCCTAGAGCTGATCTGTGCTGGTCACTGAGGGAATACATCAACTTAGTGCTGTGGATTGCCGGATCAGCTTTCACTGTGGACGAAGCGGAGTTCAGCCCGGGCACGCCGTTCTCGACCCCGCCGCCTCTGCTCACTCTAGCCCGGCCTCAGCTCACGCTAAGGCGCAGCTTCCGCACACGCTAGGCCGCCGTGTTTTTCGTTGTGAAAGCGAAACTACTTTGTTTGGTATTCCAAAAGAGGACACGACTACAAATCAGTGGTTCAGTTGTATTTACAACACTGTTCCAGAACAGTTTAACCCAAATATCCAGATGTGTGCAGCACATTTTATGGAGGACTGTTTACTGATCCTGGGAGAGTTGACTACAATGCCGGCAGTTCTGACTCACAGTCTGTAAGTAAGTTTTCATATAAAGGATTTGCCACTGATGATTCAAATTCGAGTTTTGGGCAGTGTAGAGTAGCGTTTGTAGTTTGTCATTTCTCCAATCACAAATCCAGACAGGGTTTTATGTTTACACGGCGCGATGCAACGCAACACGTAAAAAGACAGTACAAGTCATTGTAATCAGTAAGTATGTCCCCACTGGATGCAACAAATGCCTCGTTTGTAATGGGTTTTCATGTTTTTGAATCATCACTCCGGCCGGGACACGGCATCACAGTATGGTGAGGGGCGTAACATTTCCGTCGCACGCTTGAGGTATTCGGCCAATCACAACGCACTGGATAGCTGGCCAATCACAGCACACCTCGCTTTTCAGACCGATGAGCTTTGTAAAAATCGACGCGTTTCAAAAAGGCGGGGCATAGAGGAGAAACAATAATGTACAGTATGTGGAAAAAAGTTTTTTTTTACTTTAAACCACATAGACATTTCATTACACCAAATAATGTTATTTTTAGCAGCATCATATGACCCCTTTAAACTCTGGTAGGGAAACTCATGAATTGGAGAGCTGCACTGTTTCCCTAACAGTGACCGAGCCGATTGTTCCTGTAGATAGTATGCTTGTAGTTGCTTTAGATCAGGGGTAGGCAAGTTCGGTCCTAGAGAGCCGCAGTCCTGCAGAGTTCAGCTCCAACCCTGAAAAAAAAAACCTCACCTGCCTATAGCCTTAGTAATCCTGAAGACATTGATTAGCTTGTTCAGGTGTGTTTGATTAGGGTTGGAGCTGAACTCTGCAGGACTGCGGCTCTCTAGG